GGACGCAGACAAATGCCTTCAAAGCAGTGAATCAACAGAGCGCATATCACAATGACTGCAAAGAGAGCTATCATTTCATCTTTCGGAGGGCTTTGCATGGCGTTTCCCTCCGCATCCATGGTTTTGTTTGGTGCCGACATGTCTTCAATTAGGGTGAAATGAAGGGATCGTCGGTCGTTAAGCGTTGCTTCCTGCGCGCGGAGATGTAGAGTGACGCTCGTGTGTGGAACGATTGGTACTTTTGGCTGCCCTACGCGTGCATTTATCGAAGACACTGGGGGCCCCCCGTCACTCTTCTTACCCCTCCTCAGTTCTAGTCTCCTCTCCTGCCCCGCGCCGTGCCCGCGCTCTCGCATCGGTCACTGCGTCGCGACCGAGGGGTCCGCACCCGCCGCGCCCCGCCCGCGCCGAGCACGCCCCCCGCCCGCACCGCGTCCGCCCGCACCGCGTCCGCCCGCACCGCGTCCGCCCGCACCTCTCTATGGTGCTGAGTTACATCCTGGGAAAATTTGATAAGGAATGATGCAGCTTTCCTTGGCATATAAAAACGACGGTACACACATTAAACCACTCACTTCAACTGCTCACATAACACCGTCAACATGGATTTGCGTTTCCGTCATCCGTCCAATGCCCTGGTCTGCGCTCCAAGCGGAGCGGGCAAAAGTTTTTTGGTCAAAAAAATTGTGGAAAACCGCACAGCAATGTTCACGGCCACTTTTGAAAAAGTCATTTGGTATTACAGTGAATATAAAAATTTGTACGATGAGCTTGCACAGCAACACTCTGTCCAATTCATCGAGGGTGCACCTTCGCTGGACCACTTTCCCCCGGGGAGAAGGCCCCAAAATTGGTCATTGTCGATGATTTCTTAGACCAAGTAAAAAATCCAGAATTTTTAAAACTTGCCATCAAAGGATCTCATCACCGCAATTTGTCCTACTGGTTCCTTTCACAGTCCATTTTCCCTCCTTACTTTAGACAGATTAGTTTACAAGCACACTATGTTATTCTTTTAAAATCACCACGGGATGTACAACAAATAAGAACGTTTGTCCTGCAAGTAGACCCCACCCATTGGAAAGGAATGCTGGAAGCGTATGAAGACGCTACGCGGGAGGGACACTCCTATATTTTGTTTGATTTCCACGTGAGACAAAAAGACCACTTGCGACTGAGAACTCACATTTTTCCTGGTGAAACGACTGTATTTTATATACCAAAAGGAAAGTAAAAAAGTGCCCCCCTCGTTTATAGTAGATCATTCTCGGACGATGAGCCGAAGGGTACACTTCTAAAGGTCTCGTGATGCCCCCTTCAACGAATCAATCTCAGAAAGATTTACTTCGTGTTCTACAGCGCGCACGTCCACACCTACGCAAGGCCATTCTGAAACACGCTGACAAGGCACTTGTACACTCCATTTGTGAACTTTGTGACAACACTTTGTGCGGTAACGTGCCACTTACACCGGAACAAATACAAAATTTAAAGAAACACAAAGCAATCCTTAAACGGTTAGCTAAGCGAGGAGAGTCTTGGATAACTAAGAAGAAGGCTCTGAATCAAAAAGGGGGTTCATTCCTTCCCCTTCTGCTTAGCGTTTTGGCTCCTACCGTCGGAAAAATCATCTTCGGTCTTTAATTATTCAACTATGGAGCACTGCAAGAAATTGATACTCGTGCCTCACGAGGCAATGACAAAATTGCATGAAAAGCCCGCTACCCGTTCTTCTGGAGATGTCATGGACGATTTGGACCAAGAAATGAGCCGGATTTTGAAACAGCGAGCTGCAGACAGTGATAAAGGGAAAATGTACGACCAAGCTCTGCAGCGGTATCTTTATTTTGTCAACGAACAAAGAAAGCCCACGTCACTTTTTTTAAAAGAATCAAATACCAATGAAATTGAGAACGGAACCGAATCTGAGACAAACAAAAAACACTGTTTTGAAAGGAAGACTCATTTCACTCATTCCTGTAAAATTTAAAAACGCTGCTTCAGCGCTCTATGATCACTTATCAACACCAGAAGCAAAAGCCTATATTAGTTGGGATAGGAATGGAACCACGTCAGTCGGTGGAGAAACGTACTCGAGCATCATTGACTTGATCTCTGATGTGGTTCGCACTCCCCAAACAAGCAAAAATTTCACGTTGGCATACGTTTGCTAAGGTACTTAAATCACTACATACTCCATTAGACATCGTAGGCAACCAACAATACATACGGGCTCTACAAACGCAAGACGGTGCTGGAATAAGTGAAAAGAATGAAACGAAAACAAACTCGACAATCCCTCACGACCACACATGGGCACGACATCTTACCCAAAAAAAAGAAAAAAACCCCTTTCAGAGGTGCAGTCCGAAACTCAAAATGGAAGCGATGGACTTGATTCAATCTTCAAAGATACTCGCCATCCTGCGGGATACAGTACTGTAGAACGACTGAAAACGGCTGCAGGGAGAAAAATTAAAAAGAATCAAGTGGCTGCCTACCTTCAGGAGCAGGACTCGTACACCCTTCACCGAAGAGCGCGACGCGTCTTTCCACGAAATGTGACCTATGCAGACAATATAGACGACTGCTGGCAAGCTGATCTGGCAGATTTTAGTTCAATTCAAGAAGACAATCAAGGTAACAAATTTGTTTTGTGCGTGACGGATGTATTTTCTCGGTACGCGTGGACAATACCTGTACCAACAAAAAAGCTGACACAATTAAGAACGCATTTGAAAAAATTTTTCAAAACACTACCAGGAGACCGTCTAGGCTTATAACAGATAAAGGCGGTGAACTAAACAATAGGACTCTGAAAACATTTTAAAGATGCACAACATTGAATACGCACACACAAATAACCCGGACACCAAATGTTCAATCACTGAAAGATTTATTGGAACTTTGAGACAGTGGATGCAACGAGTTTTTACTCAGAGAGAAAATTATCAGTACACAAACGGTGTCTTAGAAAACATAACACATGCTTACAATCACAAAAAGCACACAAAAACTTAAGATGACACCACACGAAGCCAGTAATCCTAAAAGAGTCCTAGAAGTTTACAATACCCTATACGGAAAAAAAAATTTCACAGTCAAAAAGTGAAACCAAAGTTGAAAGTAGGAGACTTTGTTCGCATTTCCAGAGAGAAAAAAAGGTTTGAAAAAGGATGTACCTGGAACTGGTCGGAAGAAATCTTTAAAATAACACAAGTGATACCTCATATACAACCCATTTACCGCATTGCTGACCTGGATAAAGGCGAAGAACTCGAAGGACACTTTTACTCTTGGGGAAATTAGTCCCGTCAAAAAGCCTGAGCTTTACAAAATTGCATATATAGTCAAGGAACGGGGAACGGGTGTCAGAAAAGAATCGTTCGTCCACTGGAGAGGTTACCCCGTGTCAACTCGCTCTTGGGTTTTTAACAAAGAAATTTTAGAAACAAAAGGACTTTTACATGACACTCCCGAGCAATGCTAGCCCAAAGGTGTATCCTGAAAACAAAACATCAAACTACAAAATACAACTTTCCGAACGAGTAGAACTGCATGAAGAATGGGAAGTGGCCCTGTTGGATATTCACTATCCTAACACAATTGAACAAGTGACCGACGGAGAAAACTTAATAGAAATAAGATATTCTGATGGCGAAAAAAGATACATTTTCGGTCACACCCGGGGCACTACATAACCCGAGAAAACATCTTGTTCGCACTTCACGAGACTTTAACACCAATCGAAGAAATGCCGGATGGTAATGGACGTTCAAGTGTCGTTGAACTAACTGAAAACGGATATATTCTATTTCATCCGTTTCTGAAAGCCCCGGACGCAAAATACACCTTTTCACCACGGCTTGCAATTCAATTGGGATTGCTTCACCCTGGACCATACTCAACTAACCAAGAACTTTTTGGCACTTACCCAGTAGAGACAAGTCTGGGCGTTTGTCCTCAGCTTTATGTCTATCTCGACATCATTGAGGACCAAATTGTAGGACACACACGTGCTCCGTTACTTCGCACCATCCCCGTCGATACACAGAAAAAATATGGTGGAATGTCCACTCACAGATGCGACCCACCTATCTATTTTTAAAATTTAGAACTAAGTCTTTCGACACCCTGGAAGTCAATATAAGGACACACACGGGCAGTTTTGTGCCATTTGATCACGGAACGTCGACCTTGCTGTGTCACTTCAGACAGCGCGTTTAGTACAATCATGGCACACATTGAGGAGTATTACGTAAAAAAGGGCCCCGACAGGGTCTGGGATGAACTTTTATGCGGGCTCATCAACCCAGAAGGGCGCGGGTATCGGAAGCTTTCTAGGTGGACTGTTCCGCAATATTTTCCCATACCTGAAACAAGGGGCAAACGTCGTTGGGCGTGAAGCCCTTCGCGCTGGCAGTCACATCCTTGCTGATGCTGCGTCAGGTGAAGTCCCGCTAAGAAACAGCGTAAAAAAGCACTTCTCTGAAGCGGGTATAAACCTGGTGAACAAGATGCGAGGCAGAGGTATAAAGCGAGGCAGAGCACGCGGACGGCCTCAGTCCTCAGGCGGCGCTCGAACAGGAAAAACACTCAAGAGATCCAAGCTAACCGTCAATTCAGCAGAAAAGCACATTTTCTAAAACATGTCGCTTTTGCACACCGCCTCATCTGAGGCGCTTCGCTCTGAACTTGATTTGTGGGCGATTCCACCCACACAAACTGTGCTAGAAGGGGGACAATGGACTCACTTCAAACCAATAACAAGCATTGACCAATCGAACACCATCGAATTCTGTGTCCCCGGTACTGGACATGAATACATTGATCCTGCACACACACTTCTACTTGTAAAGGGAAAAATTGTGAAAGAAAATGGAAGTGACTTAGGTGAAGGGGACAACAGTGATGCTACCCCCCTTAATTATATGCTACACTCACTCTGGAGCCAGGTAGACGTATCACTGAACCAAAAAATTTAAATTTTACAATCTGCCATGACCTATCCGTATCGCAGTTATATGGAGTCACTCCTGGCTTATGACTCGCCTGCCAAAAATTCTCACATGTCCATGCGCATGTGGTATAAAGATACTGCCGGACACATGGACGAGTGCAAGCCTGACAAAAACGAAGGACTCAAGAAACGTCACGAACTTACTAAAAACAGCAAAGTGTTCGAGCTCCTAGGCCCTATACACAGTGACTTTTTTAATCAGGATCGCTTTCTTTTAAATAACGTGGAACTTAGAATTAAGCTCACTCGCAGTCGAGATGCCTTCGTGCTCATGTCAACCAACAGAAATGAGAAGGTGGTCATCTTTGGGCGCAACACTTTTAGTACGAAAAGTTCGCATCTCACCCACAGTACTACTCGGACACGCAGCTGCCCTTGAACAGGCACCAGCGAAGTACCCACTCACGAGAGTTGACCTCAAAACAATCACCATTCCAGTCGGAGTGCAGGACAAATCCATATCAAACTTACACCTTGGGCAAATACCAAAAAGAATCATCATTGGATTTGTTTCAAATCCAGCATTCAACGGAAGTTACCAGTATAACCCATTCAACTTCCAACACTATGATCTGAATTATCTGAGTCTTTATGTGGACTCGGAACAAATTCCCGCACAGCCCATCACACCTGACTACGAACACAAATTTTCACATTGACGCTTATAACACGCTATTTAGCGGGACGGGTTTGCACTGGAAAAATGAAGGAAACGATATCACCTATACTGAGTACCCCCAAGGTTTCGCACTCTACGCATTCGACCTTTCGCAAGATCTTTCTGCTCACGAAAGTCACTGGAACTTGCAGCGTCAAGGAGTAGTGAGGTTGGAAGTAAAGTTTGCCAAACCACTTGCAGGAGCCATTAACTGTGTTGTCCTCCCGGAATTTAATAATCTAATTGAGATTGACAAAAACCGAAACGTCGTCGTTGATTTCGGCGTTTAAAATGGACGGACACACTCTGGAAGCCGTTTTGCGGAAAGATCCACACGCCTCGCCTCATTTCGAAGGAGTATTTGCCTCGGATACACTTCCCCACAACTTACAAAAAAAAGCCAGCACTCATAATTGTCAATACCGACCCCATCAACAAGCCAGGAGCTCACTGGCAAGCCATATACATCGGCTGCGATGGACAAGGAGAACATTTCTGCTCCTTTGGGCTTGGACCTTACATCCCTAGCATAAGAAAAATTTATGGACCGCCAATGTAAAAAAAGGAGCAAAAACACAATTGATTTACAGGAATTCGACTCTTCTGTATGTGGCCAGTACTGTGTACTGTTTTTACTTTTTAAGGCACATGGATACTCTATGGAGGATTTTGTAACCAGCTTCACTGATGATTGTCACGCTAATGATAAGATTGTCAACGAGATGTTTCACCGTTATGCTCAAAATGTAACAATTTGTGAGGATATCCGTGTAAAGAGATGTCAAACGAGTTGTAAAAAACGAAAATAAAATGTACAAAATGTAAGGTGCTTGTTTTTATTTTCCCTCTTTCACGAAAAACCGCCTGATTGGTAGGCAACCCAATGAATGCACGAGGCGCCTGGTTTTAGTCAACCCGTTGCAAGGATGCAGGGTGGCGCCAGAAGGGGCGAGTGAGAGAAACATGAGGTGAACGAGTTGCACGTGAACGGGGAGTAGTTGGCTTAGTAGCCGGACGAGTCAGTCTGCCTCGGAACTCCGCCAAGTGAACACCAGGGCTACTTGGTGACCGGGAGGGACGACATCGGCCACCTCCAGAGGTCCCCGATGTAAAGTTACGCGTGCGACGCCTGATGGGTAGGCAACCGGCCGCGAGGTACGCGAAGCGCCTCAGGGGGCACGGTTACGAGGAAGCGTCACCGGGAGCACGAATACGATAGCGCCTGATGGGTAGGCAGCCCATTGGAAGAATAAGCACGACCCCCTTGGGTTTGGGGGCAACCCGTTCAAGGATGCGGGGTAGCGCCTGCACGGATCCGAGCAAAGCGCCTGATGGGTAGGCAGCCCGCAACATCGTGGCCTTGAGAACGGCACGCACGGGTTCGGGTGACTCATCGAGACACGCGTAGGTGGAGTCGGACTGGCACTGGGTTGCTTTGCCCCTGCCCCCTGGCAGGGTAGGCAATGCAACCCAGTGCCTGTCTTACTACTCGCGACAGTGTCGCGGCAGGGGAAGCGCGACAGTGTCGCGGCAGGGGAAGCGCGACGGCCTCGCAGCAGGGGAAGCGCGACGGCCTCGCGGCAGGGGAAGCGCGACAGTGTCGCGGCAGGGGAAGCGCGACAGTGTCGCGGCAGGGGAAGCGCGACAGTGTCGCGGCAGGGGAAGCGCGACGGCCTCGCGGCAGGGGAAGCGCGACAGTGTCGCGGCAGGGGAAGCGCGACAGTGTCGCGGCAGGGGAAGCGCGACGGCCTCGCAGCAGGGGAAGCGCGACAGTGTCGCGGCAGGGGAAGCGCGACGGCCTCGCGGCAGGGGAAGCGCGACAGTGTCGCGGCAGGGGAAGCACGACGGCCTCGCGGCCAGGGCCGCCCGAAGTACTTTCTGGTGGGGGGGGCGAAATTTTTATAAAAAATTGTTGGGTTGCCTACCGTTAAGGGGCAACACCCAATACGGTTTAGACTTCTCTCATAGTGTTCCAAATCCAGCGAGCGAAGCGAGCTTAAAGCGAAAATTCACACAATTCTAGACTTTAACACAACTTTTGCCATTTTTAGAGCTTAATCACACGCTTTATTGGTGGGCGAAGCGAGCCAAACGCCAAATAATGGAGGAAAACTAAGAAAACCTGCGAGCGAAGCGAGCAAGAAGCCAAAAATCAAAGAATTTACGACTTTGCTGTATTTTTCTCTCTATTTTGAGCTCAAAATGGCACTTTAGTGTCTGAAAGTGGGGGGGGGGGGGGCGCTGCCAAACAGCGAGGCTGTGCCAGCGTCAAACAGCGAGGCTGTGCCAGCGTCAAACAGCGAGGCTGTGCCAGCCTCACACAGCGAGGCTGTGCCAGCGTCAAACAGCGAGGCTGTGCCAGCGTCAAACAGCGAAGCTGTGCCAGCGTCAAACAGCGAGGCTGTGCCAGCGTCAAACAGCAAGGCTGTGCCAGCGTCAAACAGCGAGGCTGTGCCAGCGTCAAACTGCGAGGCTGTGCCAGCCTCACACAGCGAGGCTGTGCCAGCGTCAAACAGCGAGGCTGTGCCAGCGTCAAACAGCGAGGCTGTGCCAGCCTCACACAGCGAGGCTGTGCCAGCGTCAAACAGCGAGGCTGTGCCAGCGTCAAACAGCGAGGCTGTGCCAGCCTCACACAGCGAGGCTGTGCCAGCGTCAAACAGCGAGGCTGTGCCAGCGTCAAACAGCGAGGCTGTGCCAGCGTCAAACAGCGAGGCTGTGCCCGCGTCAAACAGCGAGGCTGTGCCAGCGTCAAACTGCGAGGCTGTGCCAGCCTCACACAGCGAGGCTGTGCCAGCGTCAAACAGCGAGGCTGTGCCAGCGTCAAACAGCGAGGCTGTGCCAGCCTCACACAGCGAGGCTGTGCCAGCCTCACACAGCGAGGCTGTGCCAGCGTCAAACAGCGAGGCTGTGCCAGCGTCAAACAGCGAGGCTGTGCCAGCGTCAAACAGCGAGGCTGTGCCAGCGTCAAACAGCGAGGCTGTGCCAGCGTCAAACAGCGAGGCTGTGCCAGCGTCAAACGGCGAGGCTGTGCCAGCGTCAAACAGCGAGGCTGTGCCAGCCTCACACAGCGAGGCTGTGCCACCGTCAAACAGCGAGGCTGTGCCAGCGTCAAACAGCGAGGCTGTGCCAGTGTCAAACAGCGAGGCTGTGCCAGCGTCAAACAGCGAGGCTGTGCCAGCCTCACACAGCGAGGCTGTGCCAGCCTCACACTGCGAGGCTGTGCCAGCGTCAAACAGCGAGGCTGTGCCAGCGTCAAACAGCGAGGCTGTGCCAGCGTCAATCAGCGAGGCTGTGCCAGCCTCACACAGCGAGGCTGTGCCAGCCTCACACAGCGAGGCTGTGCCAGCGTCAAACAGCGAGGCTGTGCCAGCGTCAAACAGCGAGGCTGTGCCAGCGTCAAACAGCGAGGCTGTGCCAGCGTCAAACAGCGAGGCTGTGCCAGCGTCAATCAGCGAGGCTGTGCCAGCGTCAAACAGCGAGGCTGTGCCAGCGTCAAACAGCGAGGCTGTGCCAGCGTCAAACAGCGAGGCTGTGCCAGCGTCAAACAGCGAGGCTGTGCCAGCGTCAAACAGCGAGGCTGTGCCAGCGTCAAACAGCGAGGCTGTGCCAGCGTCAAACAGCGAGGGTGTGCCAGCCTCACACAGCGAGGCTGTGCCAGCGTCAAACAGCGAGGCTGTGCCAGCCTCACACAGCGAGGCTGTGCCAGCGTCAAAAAGCGAGGCTGTGCCAGCGTCAAACAGCGAGGCTGTGCCAGCGTCAAACGCGAGGCTGTGCCAGCCTCACACAGCGAGGCTGTGCCAGCGTCAAACAGCGAGGCTGTGCCAGCGTCAAACAGCGAGGCTGTGCCAGCCTCACACAGCGAGGCTGTGCCAGCCTCACACAGCGAGGCTGTGCCAGCCTCACACAGCGAGGCTGTGCCAGCGTCAAACGGCGAGGCTGTGCCAGCGTCAAACAGCGAGGCTGTGCCAGCCTCACACAGCGAGGCTGTGCCAGCGTCAAACAGCGAGGCTGTGCCAGCGTCAAACAGCGAGGCTGTGCCAGCGTCAAACAGCGAGGCTGTGCCAGCGTCAAACAGCGAGGCTGTCCCCGCGTCAAACAGCGAGGCTGTGCCAGCGTCAAACCGCGAGGCTGTGCCAGCGTCAAACAGCGAGGCTGTGCCAGCGTCAAACAGCGAGGCTGTGCCAGCGTCAAACAGCGAGGCTGTGCCAGCCTCACACAGCGAGGCTGTGCCAGCCTCACACAGCGAGGCTGTGCCAGCGTCAAACAGCGAGGCTGTGCCAGCGTCAAACAGCGAGGCTGTGCCAGCGTCAAACAGGGAGGCTGTGCCAGCGTCAAACAGCGAGGCTGTGCCAGCGTCAAACAGCGAGGCTGTGCCAGCGTCAAACAGCGAGGCTGTGCCAGCGTCAAACGGCGAGGCTGTGCCAGCGTCAAACAGCGAGGCTGTGCCAGCCCCACACAGCGAGGCTGTGCCAGCGTCAAACAGCGAGGCTGTGCCAGCCTCACACAGCGAGGCTGTGCCAGCGTCAAACAGCGAGGCTGTGCCAGCGTCAAACAGCGAGGCTGTGCCAGCGTCAAACAGCGAGGCTGTGCCAGCGTCAAACAGCGAGGCTGTCCCCGCGTCAAACAGCGAGGCTGTGCCAGCGTCAAAAGCGAGGCTGTGCCAGCCTCACACAGCGAGGCTGTGCCAGCGTCAAACAGCGAGGCTGTGCCAGCGTCAAACAGCGAGGCTGTGCCAGCCTCACACAGCGAGGCTGTGCCAGCCTCACACAGCGAGGCTGTGCCAGCGTCAAACGGCGAGGCTGTGCCAGCGTCAAACAGCGAGGCTGTGCCAGCGTCAAACAGGGAGGCTGTGCCAGCGTCAAACAGCGAGGCTGTGCCAGCGTCAAACAGCGAGGCTGTGCCAGCGTCAAACAGCGAGGCTGTGCCAGCGTCAAACAGCGAGGCTGTGCCAGCCTCACACAGCGAGGCTGTGCCACCGTCAAACAGCGAGGCTGTGCCAGC